TGGGGTTTTGCAAGAAACACTTTTCTAAAGGAGTTGGGAGCTTAAATTAAGGGATAGTTACGCGTATATATGTTTCTTTGATGTTGTTGACTTATTCACGTTTTCACTCCCCCACACGTGCACCTCTTGTCTTCTTGCCCAATTTTTAATTCCATGAGACTTTGAAATTTTCAAAAAATTAAAATAAGTGAATGGTTAGAATCAATCTTAATTTTTTAGAGCTTTTCTGCCTATTCTTTGTGTGAAACCACAATGTCTAAGATACCAAGCATGCATTATATTGTATGCTCCTCCAAGTTTGGTGGTCGGACCATCTTCGATAAGTGATGCATCTCGTTCTCCGTAATGATTCCATTTTAGGTTAAATTTATCTACTCTTAATTTGTTTTAAGTTATATCAGGAACTAACAGTTCATTCTATTCAATGTCTCCATGAGGTACAAATAAAGAAGGGTTCGAAATTATTAAATTTGCATTTATTATATTTGTTAATGACGAAAAACAATGAAAAAACTCTTTTTAAACACATATTTATCAAATTGATATATAGTAATGAAAATGTAAGAAGCACAATGCAACCATTTATTAGTATTACCCATTTTGGCACTAAAAGCGCTTTCTCATATTCCCATGGATCGAACAATACTATGTTATTTTCGATGCTTGTATTAGTTTTATATTTTTACATTTTAAGTATATACTTAATCTTAAAATGTGTCACAAATTGTGTACTAATTGGTAGTAGTTATTTCTCGACGGAACATAGAAGGGGAAAAATCGACTCATAATCTTAGATGTAGAGTTAAATGTTCTAAAGCAACAGAACAACAAATCTCTAGCCATGTGAGCTCCGATATAATATCCCTTTAGCAATACAAATCAATTGTAAATCGATGTGATTGTAATATACATTGTCACAGAGTCAAAGTATTTGCACGTGCAGACACGCAAAAATGGAAAATAGTTATTGAAGTCTTCATTTATCCAAAGTGGTTTGAATCGTTGGACCATTTGTGCAGGCTGACTCTCTCATGCTTATTTATTAACTAAGCGATTTCTAAATGCATGGTTCCACGTGAGCACGCGCAAAAATACAACGACAGTTCACCAATTATTGTAGTATAGATAGAGAGAAAACGTGAAAACAAGTCCAAGTTGTTTTCGCTTTTTTATGTTTTTGTTTTCAGATAATTTCTTCCTCTATCTTACTGCCTTCCTTTAATTATCCTTTTTTGTTCTTTATTTCTTCTATATACTTTCTTTTTCATTTCTATCACAGTAATGTAAACTAAAAATGAAATAGTTATGAAACGAGTCGTGTATTTATTACCATGACATTTTTTAAGATGTATGTAAAAGTGTGTTTGCTAACATTTAAGTGATGAAGAAAGCCGAAGGGTGGGAGGGAAAGAATAGAGAATTATATGAAGCAAAATTTTGAAAATCAAAACAACTTCAAATAGTTTTTACTTTTTAATTTTCATTTTACGTACCATTTCATATACATTTTTCCATGTATATACTATAATTCTTCATTTCTCAATTTTCTCATGCGCGTGTGTGTGTTCATGTGAAGTTCATGCATGTGGTTTATTATTTATTTTGCTAAATCAGAGAATATTATTATGATTTCATCAGTCCTGTTTATTTGAAAGTGATATTTATATTTTTAACTTAACCTGGATCAGCTTCACTTATTAATAATACCCAAGTCTAACCAAAGAGAGAACTAGAAACAGTACTGTGAAAACCCGCAAGTGTAGCAGTAGTACTTTATTAGCAGGAAAAGAATGATGAGTCAATTAAAAAATAAAAAAAATCATATAGAAATGGTTTGTCGGTGTCTTAATTTCCTTGAAGCACGACCCTTAATTTGAGGTTGAAGGCCGGCTAGCTCGAAACATGTATACCAGACAGCATTAAACAAAATTCCATACGAGTGAAACCCTAAAGGAAAAGTCCATATGAGATGCTGACAAAACCAAGGTGGGTTCTGCAGTTTTCCACGCTTGCCATCTGGCACTCATATATGCCATCTCCGAGTCCTTGTCGATTACGGCTTGATCGATCGACTGGAGGAATATTTCTTGCACGTATCACCATGGATGACTAGGACATAAATAATTGATGTCCAAGTCCAACCCAGTCTCCTGCTGAAGTATATATGCAAAGATTGCTTTTTTTAATTATAAATATATATCTCATTAAAATCACAAATTTCATATGAAAAATCTTTAGCAAATTCCTAGGCATAAAATTTAGAGCAATCTATAGCATGCTCTCATGTCTCTGGGTTTGATGATTTCTTCAAGATGATATATTCTTCTTCTTTGTTTTATATTTTTATTTTTTAAGAACACCTATTTTGTCATCAACACTGCTAATTAATGTCCTCATGCGTGTGTCTAACTAGGTTTTTCGCATGTGATCAGATCCCTTCAGATGAAACACAGGATTAAGAAATGCTTAATTATGTTTAATATGATGATGTTGGGGGTTCTTTTCTTTGCCAAGAAAATATATATGGGATCCGGTAAAAATTATCCTCATTGTTACGTAATAATTAGTCATTATGAATGGAAAAATTCATTGAATTGTGCTCAACACCTTGCTTGCACAAGGATAATGAGAATTTTCAATTGCCTAACTAGAAAACAATATTGTTTTAGAAAAACTGCTTTAATTACTTGTTTTTGTTTTAATACAATACGAAATATTGATTTTCAAGCAGTAAAGTTTCTAGCCAATCAAGTAAGCGAGTACGTGTATCCATCTTGTTTGGATTGAATAAACTTTATTTTGTTAAAAATGATCAAGTAGACAGCATCCTCCAAGTTTGGATATAAACTACTCCACTACATGCAATGGTTTATAACTGTCAATTAGTGGGTGAGCTTTGATATAGCTTGGGAGTATACTATATAGTAAACAATAGCAACAACACCAACAGCAATAATACAGAATACAAATGACAGGGAATGATAGATAAATAAAAGTTGGAAGATCATCCAAAAGAAAAGAACCAAGATTCTTTTCTTATATTTTGTTTATACTTGTTTATCTATATTTTTTGGTTTTAATCGTTCTTGTCCTTGAAAAAAAAAAAACAAAAGAGATAATTGAAGAATATACTACATCAGCATTTCATTTCAGTGCACCTACGTACACACAACAATAATGGTCTAACAACACAATTAATTTGTGCCCCCTTCAATTTTATTAAGCATAAAAACATTTTGTGCCCTCTTAATTTCATAGAACATATATAAAAATACCTAAAATGTGCCCTTTTGTTCATGGGGCAGATTAGTTTGTGCAAAACAAGAGAAAAGAAAAGTCCACAAATATGTGCCTTTTAAAATTAGTGCACAAAAGTTTGTAGTCGGTATTATCTCAGCTTGCATGTGTCCTTGTAGAACTGCTGGACATGATATGCAGCAAGTGGAGGGATTGATAAGCCTCCCAATTCTATATGCATGGTCTCCAGAATTTTGGATCGACCCAAATACACACAGAGGGCCGCAGATCCTGTCACCTTTGTGTCTCCTTGTATTTGGAGGCCTGCCTTATGACTTATTGAGAACTAACTCTATTACTTATTTTTATTTGACATAAAAACATTAAAGAAATTCTAAATAGAAGAAACCTACGCTCGGGCATTGGCATCTGGCAGTATCTTCCTCGCAGATCAACTTTCAACCATACCCACTCTCCTATGCCATACCATTAATCTGTGAGATTTTATATATGTGAGTTGACCAAACCATTAGTTTGATTTGTCGGATAACAAGTCAATAGGATTGTGGTTTATATTGAATGAGGATCCGGCACATTCGTTTATCGTATATCGTGCAGCTAGTTTTCATCAGGTACTGTTTATATTTAATTTTAAATAAAAAATTTACAATGATTTCTGATTGTATGATATACAATAAATGAACGTGATTAGAGGATTCTTGGGATCCTTACAAAGAGGATTTGGAGAGGATTCTCATTCGTTTATATTGACTTACTAAGTTTTTATATAATAAACCAATGGAGGGAATTATTGGACCTCAAAAGTTAAAAAAAAAAAAAAAAAAAAAAAAAAACAATACTTGACTACTCAAGGACGAATAGGAATTCCTACTCAAAATTGTTTGTTGCCAATTTATAGAACTTCATGTTTATAATCAGAACCATTCATATTATAAATCATCTTATAAATATCATCTCTGCAAAAAATCAATTAAAACTAAGGTTATTTAGTCATCGAACTGTATAAAAACAAATGAACAAAATTGGGAAAAGCATTACATACCGTCTATGTATTTGCTAGAATAGTTTTACTGAACAACCTTAGTTTTAATTCATTTTTTGTAAAGATGATCTTTACAGTGTGATTGGTAAAATGAACGGTTTTGATCATAAGTACAAAACTCTGTAATTCAAATGCTAAGAGTTTTGAGTATAAGTTTTTACTCATCTTTGAGTAGCCAAATAATATTCAATTTAAGTAGTGTTGGTTACAAACTCTAAACAACCCTAATACGGGGTGCAGTTACTATCACGTCGAAATAAGCGGCGTGGTCTCTCTTGTTGTTAGTATTGTTGTTCAAAATACACTAGTCCTACTCAAAGTGTGTATTATTCTGAATACACGAGAAGAGAATATCAATTCATATTGACGTCCGTGATATCTTCTCCTACAAGTTAAGATCTTTCAATACTTTTAGGGTGCGTTTGTTGCACCAGACTATCACGAACTGAACTAGTTTTAAAGACTAAGTTGAATTGGGTTGGCTTGTACTAACTAGGATAAGAATAATGAAGTATTTGGTGCAGTGCCGGATTAGGTCTCGGACAAAAATATTTTAGACCCAATATTCTTGTTAATAGGAGAACATGAAATTAATTGAACACAAGATTTTCAAGGCTAACTACTTTGAAATCTCACTAATCATGGCATCATTCTACATTGCTAAATCAATCAAGGAGGCTACAGAAGAGACGCAAGAAACTGAAATCGACAAGAACACCCCAAAACATTTATCACAAACAAAACTGAACAACAAATTTACATAAGATATAAGCAAAGAAACTAAAACATTCATTTGGATACAGGCAATTTTCAGGTTGCCTTTTACAAGAGCCTTGAATAGAGGTACAACCAAAGGTTCTTGAAAAATCTGGGATTCTAAATGTTTGGCAAGCATCAGGAGCCAACAAGCACTGTAACTCTAAATCCAATTTGACAAGCTGGATAATGAGACAACCTCTCTACTCTGCAGCTTTAAGAAAATAATCAACAAAATAAGATCAAAAAAGAAAAAAAGAAAAAGATAACCTTTTAAACATTATGCAGCTTCTGAGCATATGATCATCAAAACACATGAATTCACATATACTGATATACCAATCTTCATCATAAACCATGATAAAATAAAGTGTAATACAGTTCCAACATTCATAAACACTATTGTAAGTCTGCAACCACAAAAGGCACACCTTGAATTTGTGGCTTGCATATAGGAGCATCACCAGTGGCTCTTAGATGAACAATCACTGCACAATATGGAAAACCCAGAAAAATAAAACACCATTGGTAAAGAAACAGGAAACTCAAAAACTAAAACTGATCAAAACAGTCCAAAAGAGCTTAAAATCCCGATTAATCATTGAGAATTAATGGCATTTTTTTGTAAGAAATCCAAAAGTCTCGCCTTTTTTAACAGCATTTGGAGACTCCGGGTAGCCATTTGCAAACGATCTCTGAAATTGGAATTTCAAGTCGATTTTGCTAGGGACCGTAATTTGGGAAAAAGCCCAAATCAAAACGATATCGAAATCCAAATCTTTTTGTTTACCTTTTCGAACAAGAAGATGTGGTTGCAGAGGATATCAATGGAAACCATTGGCAGCGATGGAAGTCCGTGGTCGATCGTCTATTTGTTGGACGGCTACGAGGACGGTGCGAAGCTGATGAAACGAGTCTAACGCAAGGCGATGCGAAGCATATGAGACGAGTGGGAGGCGAAGCGAAGCGTATGAGATGAGTGGGTGGCGAAGAGAAGCAGACAGTGTTAGTAGTCCGCTGCTCTTTGGCGGCTATCGCTAAGATCGGCTAGCGAGGTTGTTAGTCGGGACAAGTCCCTTCTAATCTCATTAAAGTTAGTACTTCTGTGTAATAAATATGAGATTAGACTAACTCTTAGCGTAGTCTAGTTCAGTGAAGGCTAGTGAAGCCAAACAAACACGCCCTTAATGAACTTGAGTTTCTGCAAACTAGGGTTTGTTGTGGAAGATTAACTCTTAGCGTAATCTTCTATAGCAAACCTTCTCTCTTACAAAACCTAAATGTTTGCATTGCACTAATAATAGGTCTTATTACAAACTCAAGCAATTGTCTTGCGATAGCAGAGACCTACTATATATACACGTTCAATCCACTCGACTCTTCTATTAGAATCCAAGTAGAACATCGACAAGAAATCCTTATCCAACAAGTGAGCATAAACTAGGATGGAAACCGTGTTTCAATCCTATAATGTCTAGAACAATTCAAAACCTTTTCCTTTTAGACTTCTATGCACCATTTTGAATCCAAATAGTCGACTACAACATACATTCTCATACTCATATTTTGCTTTCTATTATTCTTCGTTCGTGACATAACTGTGGGATATTCTGCAAATGTTTTCTTTCATTTTTCTACTGAATACGCAGAAGTTAATAGAATTCCCCCTCAGAAGTGTTTACAACAGAGAACAAAGCTGGAATTCATCATGTGCCAACGGCTAATTACACATAATTTATTGTACAAGTAACGATAATAAATCACTTATTCAACAAGATACACAAATTGGAAGTTGATGGAGCCTGCGGCTAACCATTTTGAAATCGGAAGACATCTCCATGGGAGTCAAAGCTATCCAGTGAATACAACATTGACGATATCTGGGAACTTCTCCTTAATCGCTGCTTTGATTCCTGATCCGATGGACTCAGGCCCTACATAATTTACATGGCAATCCCCACCTTCAACCGATAACACTTCCACACTCCCGCCAAAGTTCTTTATGGCTGGTCTCAATATGTCCAGATGACGATTCACTACCTGCATTTGCAATTTTAACACACTGTCAAACACTATGGGCCTGCTTCGCAGTTCTAAAACCTCTTTCAGATAATCAAAAACGCTTTTGACACCATTTGGCCAAAAACGTTAAAAGTGGTACTGGATTTATAAAAACACTTACTAGTATTAGCTTTTTTTTCTTTTACGGAAATTACTTCAATTCATTATTCAGTCCAACAATGTTTGGGAGTGCATTCTTTCGACATTTTCTCTTATTCGAGATGGCAAAATTGAAATATAAACATCTAATTATTGATTTTTATTCTGGAGCTGCACATCTTGTAGCAGGAGGAGTCCAATTGGCCCTTCACGTTCTTTTCGGCAATAAAAGCAGATGCATAATAGATTTGGTATGGCCTTAATGCAGGCAAGTGAACACTTTATGAGTGATTTTGGACCTTCATGCATAATCTTGAATTTCAAAGGGCAAGCCTTTCCAACATCACATTGTCATTGGTGCAGTTTTTCGGACATCTTCCCGAACATGAGTTGTGTTTTGAGGATCATGAAGGACAATTTTCGAAAGGTGTGGCATCGCTAAGTGAGTAATCGACAAGATCATTAGGGTTGCTTCCCTTCATCTCCATAGCTAGCTCTAATCTCACAGAGTCTCTCGCTCTCAATGTCTCTAAAACCCACTACTTCACTAAACACTTCCGGAAAAGGACTTTAGACGTGCTTCTAGCAGAAGTCCTTCCTCAGGAAGCACTTTCAAACATACACCCTGACAAATTAAGAGTATGCAATCCATTAAAATCGAGTCAGGAAACACTGACCTCAACTGTGATCTCTTTATTTTCTTCATCAAAGACTTGTTGAATATCCTTGAGCGCATCTCCAAACTTTTCCTTGAGCACTCTTTCGATTCCCATCTTCATGGTGGTCGTTGAGCTCGGACAGCTCCCACATGCCCCTGTTCATCCATTAATTTTATCAAATTCACTGTAGTGTGCAACGATACGATAATTACACTGAATTCATCTAAACTACATAAACAAGCACACCGCTATAGCAAACTTGATTAAACCAAATTTAATGTATTTTCAATTACCTAGTGACTTGTTTATACAATGGTTTCAATTTCCCAAAAAAAAATCATAGTAAAAAAAACAGAGTTGAATCAAATCCACCTTGAAGCTTGAGCGAAACGACGCCGTCCTCAACGGAGACAACATCGACGTTACCGCCATCGGAGATGAGATAAGGGCGGACGTCCTCGAGAACCAAGTCGACGTTGGGAACCGTGAGTTCGTACTGCTTGGCGGAGTAGAGTCCCGGAGAAGAAGACTCGGCGGCGGCGCTTGGGTTCGAAGCTCTAATGGCGGTTTTCAGAAAGATGGGCGCTTTAGAGGTGAAACAGTGCCGTTTCAAACACGTAAATTGTGGGCATTGGTGAGATTTGGGGGGGATTTTGGAAGAGAGCGTTGGGGCTTTGGGGAACCCGGTGGCTGCGAGAGACGCCATGTTTGAATAAAGCAAGGCCGTTCAAGTCTGTTTCTGGAAGATGGGGGGTGGGTTCAGTTTATGACTTCGACAAATGTAGGGGCTTTTGAGAAAGTTTAACAAATATCTAGTTAAAAATTAAATTAGCATGCTAAAAATTTAGTCCATGGGGTCGATTGGGGTAACAAAACTATGCTACTTGAATCCCCTCATTCTTCAATTTTTTTTTTCTTTTTAAAATAGGGTCAACGGTTGGTTTTGTCACATCAGTTTATCATTTTGAAGGTTAAAAAGACTCACAGAATATTTTAGTCTCATGTGACTACCATTATGTGATTCATCAGTATCAAGACTCAACACAATTCTTCAAAATTGAGTTAGGAAACTTTTGCTTGCTACAAAACACTAGATTTCTAACATAAGAAAATAAATATTTAGAAGAGTGCTTCCATGCGCAAGTGGGTAGCTTTCAACTGGAGGACTGAAAATTTAGTTGGATTTTAAAATGGGAAAAACTTTGATGACTCGATGACGCAGAACAGTTAGCGAACTAGATTATAGAGCAGGTCGACATGCGCAAGCAAAAGAATACCGATATTGAAAATTTTGAAGTTGAGAAACTAGATGTCCAATTTGATTCCATAATATGGTTCGCTAGTGAATATGGTACTTATTACATGTGACACATGCATGCGACAGCTGAAACCCGAGTCAGATTTATAAGATTTTGCCCAGCCTTAAATAAGTGGCTATGAAAAGTAAGCGCCACATGAACCGAACCAAATTGGGGGTTGAAAAAGTCAGATATCTTAGTGAGAAAATCTTGATGAGAGTTGCTGTACCTGGATTTTGTGCACCTTCCTTCTAACCAGTCTGGATCAAAATTATACAACCTCTTTTCTATTCAAAATAGTCCCCCCTACGGAAAAGAGAAGGGAAGAAGGTCTGGTTTGGTATTACTGTGCTTTGAAAAAAAGCTGTTTCTGCTGTGCTGTGAGAATAAGCAGCTGTGAAATCAAGCAGCAGAATGTTTGGTAAACTTTTTTGTACAAGTGTTTTTGAAAAAAAAAAAAAAAAAGCAGTATTATAGTGTTTGGTAAACTGTTATGTAAAACAGATGTGAAAAAAAGCCGATTTTTCAAAACTGGGTTTTGCATCTTCTTGTTTTTGGCTTTTTTTCATCCAAAACTGTGAAAAAAAGCTGAAGCTGAATGTTTACCAAACACAAAAACAGCTCCCAGCTTTTTCTGATACCAGCTTTTTTCAAAATCACCTCAGTACCAAACCAGGTCGAAGGGGAGTGAGGTTGCTTTTTGGTTTGCAGTATTTTTGGAGAAACCACTCTGAACACAACAAATAAAGAGGCTTTCTACATTACATAATGTAATTTCTAGTAATCTTCAAACATTTCATACTTGAGAGGTAACGTAAAGCCGCAACGAAGAAGTCAAGGCTGAGGAGTAGTAATTGTTTTGTATTACTGCTACATCAGTCACTAAAACAACTCAAAACCAACCAATACCAATTAGAAAGTATCTACACGAGATAAAATTGAACTTCGAGTTGCTTTCCTGTCAAAATTCCAAGGTACAAAAGAGAAGAGCACCTCATGAGATAGCTTGCTGCCATGTCGATCTTGCCCAGATTCACAAACATATTTCATCACCTATAATATGATGCCATAATGTAGAGCATGAACGCAGTTGCTGAAGTGATTATCAATTCCTGCATGCACAGAGATATTTTCACAACGGTAAATACTAAATATTATACAACCTGTCAGTTAATTTTTTTACTCGCCAACATTTCACATCGTTTGTTTACAGAAGTGCTTAATTGCTGAAATGAAGCTCAAAACTGCTTTATAGACGTAATAAACTAACTTTTATATATAAATACTCAAATAGTCATCACTAGACTATCCAAAAAATCTTTAGGAAGGTCGCTGATCAAAATAAAGAAGTATGGATAATCCTCTGTGGTTCATCCTAATTTCCCGATTTACCCTGTGACCTTGTCACCTCTATTCCCGCGTGCTTGTGAAAAGTGTTTCAACAAAATAAGTATAAAAGGAAAATTTTACCCCAAATTTAATTTAAAATCTCACTCTGAAAGGATCTTCAAAGTTTTGAAAATCTGATAACCTACTAGAAGTTGACTTTGGATTTTGGGCGGATTGATGGAAAGGAAGCAAAATCTGAATTTCTCTCTAAGTCTTGAGCAAAATTGCAATGGCTAGAATTACCTTCTTTTAGTGTAGAACAAAGTATCGAATAAATACAAAGATATTACTAGCCAATACCTGGTTATTGTAAAGAGCAGCAGGAATGTAGCTACCCATATACTCGATCAAATTCAGTGCAGTAGTGTATCCCTGTAAGAAATTAACAGAGACTTCGGTGAAATGAACATAAAGGAGAGGAACTAAATTTTTAAGATATCAGATATTGAAATCAGTAGCAAAATAAACAATCAGAACAGAACTGAAATCCCCCCACTTATACCCCCTCCCTGGCAAATACTAGTGCACCAAGAATTCAGGCAGCATAATATACCACAGAAGCAATTGCGATACAGCCAAACACTAGTGCAAGTGAACGGAGCAGCCGTTTTCCCATTCGCAATCCCCTCCCTGCATCCTCACCATCTTCCTGCATCAATAGAATTATTAGGTTGAAAAGCAGCTTATCATAAATTTCTACATATAGTTTCAAAAAGTAGCACGAATGGAGGACATGCAATCTAATCACAAAATATGACTCACTGTATATGTTGGAGATACAGGCGGTTCAAAGGATTTCAACTTCTCGAAAATCCGATAAACAAATGCAAAAGTTAAAAATTGCAGGGGTTTATATTCAGCATTCCGCTTGATAAGAAGCCAAGCTACCTGCAAAAGATGGGAAGAAGGTGAGGATAAGAAAAATTCACAGAATAAAGCAAAATACAAAATAGAAGCCGGAAGGGTTAAGTTATTGAAATATATAAGTTGTGCTAGCTAATTGCCATGCAACTTCAAGAGTTGTTCCATAGCCAACACCATGCACCAAGCAATATCTTCACAAACAATAAAGGATAAGAATCATATGTATCAACCATTCCCTAAATACTTACAAATACAGCAGATATTGCCAGGTTGATGCGCATATCTTGTACAGAAGACTTGGTGAACCTGTAAGCAAATAGAAGTCCAAAGATTAGAGCATAACGTGCCACCACTAGACTACATATATACTCTGAAAATAGTCAACATATCAAACGTGGAGGAAAGAAACAAGAGCTGGTTTCAGTTTTTAATTGATAAATGTCATGCACCATCCCGTTTCCACAAATTTTAAAGCAGAATAAAAAGGAAATTTTCTGAATATTTGTATCATGTTCCATATTGAGAGCTCATAAGAAGTTCGTGTTTTTAAGCATGCATTATCTCTACTAATTAATAAAACACTCTTTGTCAACCAAAATCCTATGAAATTACCAGTTTAACCCTCTAATTAAAATAGAACATGAATAAGAAATATGGGATAGAAATGTAATTTCACACAACCAAATTTGCTGTTTTTTTTTCAAAACCTCACCTACATGTAATCCTAACATATCTCTAATTAAAAAAAAAAAATTTAAATAAAAATTCTCACACACTTTGTGTGTGCCCATATGCTAGTATTAAATGAAGCAAAGAGTAAATCCGCATTGCAAAAGTACCAGCCTCTATCAAAGTGGCCATGGGTAAGCAATAGGATTTCCGGAACTAACTATTAAGGTAATCCAACCTACTTATTTCTTCATATAAATAGATTACATGCTTTAAAAGTATCAAAATCAGCAGGCACTGATATGCATCTTCTTAGCAACATTTTCCAATGCTACTTATCAGTAGTCACATGCTGCAAAGACAAACCTAGGCCCCCATGGTACAATTGGTTGCTTATCAGCATATTTGATGTCTTTTGAAACCTGAAATTCAACGGTAATATAAGAGGAACAATCAGTACAAGGAAGAGAAAAGACACGAAGATAATTAATCAACCTGAAATTTAAATTTTCAAAAAGATAAAATCTAGAAGTACGTAGAAACAACTTAAGGGCTATTTACACATACAGTTTTCAATGAAAATTTGTAGACCAGATTTTTTACTGTTGTACTATAACAAGTATTCATTCTAAGCTTCAAATCTTACCAAGCAAAACTTACAATGATGATAATGATAGTGGTTAATTTAACTTCAATATTCTGCTTCACCACTATATTTATCAATCCTATCTAACCCAAATCAGATACCAATGTATATCGTACATGTTTCTGTAAAATGTAAAGTCACCCGTGTTTCTTCCCATTCCACTACTTTAATTATCTGTAAGACAATATTTGTGCTTGGCATTTAGCATCTCTTCAGGATCCAAGTTCCTCATTATTCCTATATGCTGCTACCATGAAAAGTGTTATCTTGGAAGGAAAACAAGTCCAGAGTAAAGCAAATCTATTTACATTAAGAACCACACACTCTCAAAATTGTTGCACGCGTTGGAGTTAATCCACCATTAGTGACTGTTTAAAGCCTGTATAAAGCCGTTATACTATAGAATACAAGGTCAAAACAATAACTTAATCCCTTAAGAAACCACAGAACGTCATTCTTCAACTTCCAATTTCTCTCATCTCACCTTTGATGAATAATGTCCACCCCAGAACTAGAAAATTAAAATACAGCTGCATGTACCTTGAAGGAACCAAAGGTTACACCTTTCTTCCTATTAGTTAGCTGTGCCATCATAACTTTGTCATATGCTTTCTCCAGCTACATAAATGATTACATAGTTATAAGAACACCGTTCATAAGACGATTGCAACCGAACATTTAGAAAAAAGACAGAGAGTTTTGAAAAGTACTCTAGCAGCAGTTGCATCATCACCACTCCTTACGGCCTCCTTATGTTTTTTGGTATATGCTGCCTTGATCATGTCAAATCCCTCAATGGGCTCACACCAAGAACCTGTGAGATAATATCAGTCAGTCACTAGCAACATCAATTTCAAGGGTCCATACAATTCACAAAATGAAATTACCTCATATGGATTCAAATCACTATCCGGATTAGAACTTCCAGCCGCAGACGCAGCAGCACAAATTACCCTTCTATTCTGTGGAATTGTTCTAGAAACATGATAATTTTAACACCCTGTTGCTATTTCTATACATTCAAAACATGAACAATTATAACAACATATGCAAAACAAAACAAAAAACAAACAGAGAGCCAGCATTCGAAACAGAAAACGAAACTTTCTACACATCAAAAAAATAAAAAATTAAAAATAAAATTTCTCAATTTTCTCACCAACCAAACAGAGTGATTGAATTACCTGACAAAAGAGGGTGGCAGCCTCAACTCTGGGACATTGGAGCGGAAATTCCTCTGGGAAAATTGCAATTTGGGGCAGAGAAAAGCATGGGAAATCGCCAGAGCCATTTGCAATGTGGAAAATGAGTTTTGGTTTGAATATTTGGGTTCAGGGTTTTTCGAGCAGAAGAAGCAGAGGGAGAAGCAAAGCTGGAAAACCCCATTGGGTGACCCCTCCAAGGGATTAGTACAGTACAGGCCAGCAGACAAGTACCAAATACATACGGAATACGGAATACACGTAATAATACTTGGGCCTAACAAGATTAGTACGCGGACTAATACAGTAAGTGGGCTACGCTTCTGGATGCAGTTGGGCCGGATTGGGCTCCATCATCGCGAACAGATTTTTACTTCATGCTATGTGAAATTACGGGTATACTCATGTTGTGACTTGTATAAAAACTTAGAAGAGTACTTCATGAGCAAGTGTTTAACTAACTCTCAACAATATACATGTCAAACTTGGATTAGATCCTTCAATTTGATGTAAATAAGGGCTTCAAAAGGGCAAAACTTTGGAACCTAAATGATGTAGAACAATTAGTGGACTAAATTATAGAGTCAATTGACATGCGCAAGCCAAAGAAAACGAGTGTTGAGAAATATGAAGTTGGGGTGCACTCGTGTATAATTTGGTCCGCTAAAGGAGAAACTTTGAATACTTTCGTCCAACTTTGAACCATAATGAATATGATAGTTACCACGCATCATGCATGTATGTAACCGTTGAAACTTGAATCAGAATTATGAGATTTCATTCATGCATAAACGGTAACTCTGTCAGATAAATGTATATGAAATTTACCACATGACGTACATGCATATTGCAAAATCTCTCCTCGTAATCAGTGTGTTTATCTAGACGGAAACCCAAAACCAAAAGCAGTTTATTAAACAGAGCTGCTGTAAATCTTGGTAGCAGTGTTTATCTCTCACCGTGCCAGGTTTGACCGTTCAAGATTGGGAAAGAAGTTCAAGATTGGAAAAGAAAGTAGGTCTATTACCCTACGGTTCTTACCCAAAGCACCCAGAAAAAGAAACCTAGTTTAGGGTCTGCCACTCAACGACAATGGCGGGCTCGGAGGGCAGAGAAGAAGAGCAGCAGCAGCAGCAGCTCCAATTGTTCAGCGTGGGCTCAGAAGTAGAAGTGAGGACCGACGAGGAAGGGTTCAAAGGCGCATTGTTCAGAGCCACCATTGTCACAAGCCCCACAAACTCCGCCTCAAAGAAGAGGAAAAGAGCGTTGGTCGAGTACAAGAACTTGGTCACGGAAGACGGGTCTAAGCAGCTCAAGGAGTACGTCGATTTGGAGCACCTGAGGCCCACGCCGCCGCAGCTCGCTGACCGGAATTTTGAGGAGGGAGATGTGGTGGATGCGGATTACAGAGATGGGTGGTGGACTGGGGTCGTAGGGAAGGTTGTCGAGAACAATTCCAAGTACACCGTCGTCTTCGACAATCCTCCGGATTTGATCGAATTTCAGAAAGAACGTCTCAGATTGCATCAAGATTGGAATAATGGCGAATGGGTTCGGCCCAATAAGCAGGTAATTGCTAATTCTTTCTATGCGTTCGACACTTATGTTTTCGAAACTTATGGGTCTATGCAATGCAGTTATCTGAATAGGAAGTAACTGCATTGATGTTTCCCCTTTCTTGTTTCTAGCGAGTTCTTTTTATTGGCGGCTAAGAATTGCAAATATGTGTCATGGGTTAATTTTCTGGAAAATTTAGTTGATGATTGGTTCCCTGCAATTGTTGTAAAAGAAAATGAGGATAATACCTTTCTGATGAAGTATGATGATTTAGATGCTAGGGTTCAGAAAGATATTGTAGATTTTCAGCATGTTCACCCTCCCTCATATGTTATTTTTCTAGGCGGGCTGGTGTTATTTCCATCCAGTGTTCTAGCTGAGAGGATGAGGATGTGCACTGCAATTTTAAGCATAGGATTAAAAATAAGGAACTAGTTTCTTAGAGATAAGATGGCAAATGGTTGGTGCATTGAACGTGTAATCCCTTTTCTATTTAATGTTTCCATTACGGAAAGGTTCAATATCTCTCCTGGAAAAGAAGAGAAGAGACCGGGGGGTTATCGATATCTCCATTAAGGAAGGGTTCAATATCACTCTGCATAGAATGGAAAAACAGCCTTTTTTACTTTTTAACATATGGAATGATGCCTCCTGTAGCATACGAACCTAATGTACAGTAATCACTTGTGTCTTGGTTAATGGTCATGAAGTATGCCAATGCAAAATACTTAGTTCTTGATTTAGTTGAAGTTTAGCCAGTGCTCCCAGGGAATATATTTATTTGTTGGTAACTAATCAATTTAATTTCGTTCCAGGAAGTATTGGCTGCTTCAGATACTCCACAAGAATTAGAGCATGTGTTGCCTGTTCAAAAAGATTCTAACAATCTTGAAGTGGCTACTAAACTAGAAAATTTGAGTGCTGCAGAGGAGAATCCTGAATCAACCAATTCAGGGAAGAAAATGGAGCAGCCAAGTTATCCACGAAGCATCAAGGACAAAAAGATGTTAGCCCGCAATGGTAGTGCTACAGACTCGCGTCCGGTTAAAAAGTTGAAGGACGACAAGGCAGCCGAGCCCATATTATCCATTACAGCACGTCAATTGAGGAAAACGCCTGACAATAAAGAAATGCCCCAGGAATTACCTCAACTGAGCACAGGAGTTAGGGGAACAAGACGCACACGGAAACCTGTTGTACGCCATCAGTTTATTAAAACAGAGAGCCTGCTGGGGAAAAATAATGTTGTGAGTTGAATGTCTTTTCTTAACCTTTATTTGGTTGTATCATTCATGTGATGCAACTTGCCATTCGTGACATAATGTTTGTGTGTTCCATGAAATCGGCATAATGTTTGTGGGTTCCATGAAGTCGGTAACACACATAGAGGATGCGCACGTGCACGCATTTTTTTTTTTTTTTTTTTGTGCCTAAATGATTGATTACGGCGACTAGTAGCAATACTATGTAAACATGAAATAGATAGGAACAAAAAAAGATTCTGAGTAAACCACATGTAATGGAATGTTGTCCTACATCCCCTTCCCTGATGGGCAATGATGAAAGTCACCATTTCGGTTTTGATTTCCCATGAACCACTGTTTAGGAATTAAGATCAACATATTTTTTATGTGTAGAAGAATAAGCAAGAGAATGACGGTGAAGTGAATAGCCAGTGGATTCATCCCGTAGCAAGTAAAGGAAGGCGCACAAAATCTCAAACTGGAAGTCGATTGATCTCAGAAGCAGGTAAAAGACAAAAAAAAGAAGGTACATATGTCCATCAGTAGACCATGCACTGGTTAGGCTTCTTATGAAAGAAATCTGGTTCTTCATGATTTTCAGGGTATGTCTGTGCACTGCCTAGCCAAAAGAGAGAGAAAGAAAAGGGTATATATGTTCATCAATAGACCCTGCACTGATTTAGTTTCCTATTTGAGAGTAATTTGGTTATTAATGATATTCAGATAAGGAAGCATCTGCAAGTGTTTCTTTGGCTGGACAAAATGTTCAGAATGAGGGTAATATTAAAGAAACTGAAGTGCCTCAAACTATCGGGTCAACAACTAAGGGCAAGGAAGTTTCACTGGCTGAAAAACCGACTCAGCTACCTGATCAAGAGTTGCAAGTGAAAGATCTGAAAAAGAGTGTAAATGATCCTGCAGAACCAGCTCAGCTACCTGATCAAGAGTTGCAAGTGAAAGATCAGAAGAAGAGTGCAAATGATCCTGCAAATGAAAATAGCATGGTAGGCAACATACAAAAAATTGATACATATTAGTCAACAGAAGGTTTAGGAGTAATGAGTAGTTTTAATCAAACTGCTTGGTGGGTTCTCCCAGAAAGCTAGAACTTCGCGGTTCCCTTTTAAAAAAAAATGGAACTCATTTGATGTGATTAGCCGTGTCACTTCTTGTGGGCAAAGTGATTGTTGTCGGGTCTTAGTCGTCCTTAGCTTGACAAAACTTGATTTGATGACTCAATTTACCAATTACTAGAGAAAAGGATATAAATGAAGTCCAAAAAAAAAAAAAAAAAAAACTTGTTTCATACGAATGAAGTTTCTATTTAATTATTTATCTCATATCTCATTCAAGTTTGTCAAATGAGGAACCTAAGTCATTAGGGATTTTTAAGCTATCAACATGGCAACATTGGTTATTTTCTAAAATAAGCTATCAACACCCAGGTTATGTCAGCTGAACTTGGCAGCGATTCAATTTTGGCTAACCTGCTCCGTACCCTGGTTACTTTTCCAGACATGGTATAATCATGGAGTGAGAGGTCCTCAGTGAAAAGTTATTTCTTGTATACTTCTATTTGCTTTTCCACTCAATGGTATTGCCTATGGATGTTTGCCTGTACTTGAGCAGGTGTTTAAGCAGCAACCAGCTGGAGGAAGTAGTCATAAAAGAAAGAGAGGCAGGCCTCGAAAGTTAGCGGTCGTAAGGTCGCGAGCTTCAGACGGAGGTAAAAAGTCCTTAAAACTAAATTCATTGTCTGATATTTTAGATTCGGTCAAGTCCATTTTAAGTTCTTGCTTTTCAATGTATTTCAGTTGTGTCCCTTTGGTTTTAATTGAACATTGTCAACCATTTAATTATCTTATTTGTGTCAATGTGGTCCTTCTGGTTAATTTAATCCTACATTTTGCAATTGGAGAGAATGATTCGGGTGCAAATGCGATCCTATGTGAGGCTCAAATTGTATCGGAGTCATGCAGATGCTTGTCTAACATCCTATCAAGTTATTAGAAGTGGATGGATGGACAACTGCTGGGGAAATATTGAACAGTTATTTTTATTTTCTCAAATGATATAAGTACCAAGCTGCGATATAATGACCTACTCAAATATGAGTTTAACCAGAGTTATCCTCCTTATATCACCATGCTACAAGTGGGGATACATACATACATATATATATATACATACATATATATATATATATACATACTATATGACATTGCTCAAGTTGAAATGAGATGGAACAAATTTGGCCAGCTTATCCCTAAAAGAAAAAAGTTGTTACTTTGACCAATGAATTCTTGGGTAAATAACATGCTTTTGAACTGCAGTTAAGGGGCAGAATATTTCAGGAAATGTTGCTGACAAAAATGATAAGAATGATCAGATGCCTGATGAAGCTACTTTGCATGTGCCGAGGGGGACGGATTCTACAGGTTTGAGATTGTACAACTTGATTTCGTTTTAAGCCTATCAGTGAGGAAATTTTAACATTTTCATTGATGGGAACAATAAAGTTAATAAAAAAACAACATATAACTGTATGACCAGCACGGTTACTCTTCCCTACCAGGGATAACTGAGAATGTTGTATAATTTTTAGTTAAGCAACTTGTAAAGCATTAAGGAATGACATGAAGCAAACCAGAATTTGAAATAATTACCGGAAGTTTGAGACTTGGAAAAGAATTGTGCACACAATTTAATTGATCAACAAGGTGGTCTAGGTAAACATTTTTCTATTTTCTGTATAACAACTTTCTCAGTGAGAATTAAGGCCAAAGTAGTTCTTATTATTCGATTGACCTTGTTTCCCCCTCCCTTTTAACTGGAACACTTTCTGGAATTTGTTTAGCTGCAAAAGATGCCTCTAAACGAAAAACAGCCGATTTTCCTGGAAGGTGCAAAATAAAAGAAGCTGCACCGATAGCATCTGATAATCCAGATGATGATGATAAACCTCTATCCATGTGGTTCGGGGGGATGCAGCTTTCTGCGTACGTTGGTGAATCAAGTAAGCTGCTTCATATATTAGTTATTTTTCTGTTATAGTAATTAGTTTGACTATATGTGCTCTTCCTTCTAGGACCATCCCCTGATGCAAATGTCAACCAGAATAGTGATAGAGTAGAACCAGTTGAGGTAGCTAGCAAATCTCCTGCAGTTGATGCGGTCAGTGGCAGCGGGCCACATGAGAAGCAAGGGTTGCCTTTTGTTAAGAGCTCCCCTGTGTGGAAGACAATTGAAACATTGGAAGTATTCAGGCTTTTCCCCCAAAATCCTCATTTCCGACCTCTGGTTGAATGCAAAGAGGAATACCGCGAGGGTTCAGCAATTGGAAACATGATAACCTTTTCCAGTCTGGCGGATAAAATATCCAGGCTGCAGTTCGACGACCATCAAAGTGTTTTTGATAGCATTTTGGAGAGTCTTGTTGACTTGGAAAATTATGGATTCAATGTTACAATTCTACGCGGGCGGGTGAATGATCTGCTCTCTGTTAAGGACAAGCAAGGGCGGTTTCAGGTCGAGTCAAGGGATGCTGAACAGAAGATCATGGAGCATTCTCGTGAGAAGACCAAATTAGTCGAAGAGGCTGACTATATTGCGAAGAAGATAATTGAATTGCAGGACAAACATGCATCAATCAAGTCAGTAGTGGAGACCAAAGATCATGAGATTGCTAGATTGCGAATGGCTTTGGATGCCATGAATGAAGGCATTCAGAGCGCTCGGAGTGATTTTGAAAAGCTAGCTTTGGCTCCCATGAATTAGGCCGCGCACAGCGCACAACGCACAACGGGAGTGATTAAACTTTGCTTCTCAGATTAGGGATGTAATGCTTAGGTATCGATTCGGACAATTGCTCTACTTGTATTAGGGATGTTGAGTTGCATTGTGGATTGTATCGATCATTTATATTTTACATGTTGCCTGGATTCTCCGGGCGAATAAAAACGCGGGTTTTATTTTGCTTTTCGATTCTCATTTCTCACTACATATTTACTTTGGGAGTCCTGGGGAGCAAGAGTCTTATTGCTCTCTTCTCATTAGTTCAAATTCAAGCGTTCCTTTATGCCCTATATGAGGAGAAATTCTTAAGGCCTGATATCGGATTACATGTTCGTGCGGACTTTAGACACAAAAACCATCCCATGACCCACCACCCTATAACTTGAGACTCACCATTACCCAATGTAATGACTTCATCCCCTCTCACACCACTCACTCTATAAGCCAGATCTAAAATCCTTTTTTATGCGGGAAATTTAAAATTTCACTTAGGGTTAACATTAGTGAAACGCATGCATATCGGCCCATGTAATGCATGTTGAAGATTTCGTTACTGGCATATGTTATAGCTTATGCCATGGCCAATCAATTTAACTTTTATTTTATTTTATCATAAAATAAAATTTGTAAACTTTGAGTTAATTTGTCTTTATATTATCGTAAAATGATTACCACAATGACTTCATTACTGGCGTATGTTATAGCTTATGTCATGGTCCATTAATTGTGATCGAAATAAGATTTCACCTTTCTACAATCTTTGGATAAATTCTCACTTCAATCTTATCCGTTGGATTATTTCACTTCAACATGGTACGTGATGCTATCGTCACATGAACTAACTTTCAGCGCATGTTTTTCCAAAAGTTGGAGAATTTGATCTGAGCATATTAGCTTAGTACGCGTGATGCGCAGGTTAGACAAAACCTCGCTCCTAACAAACTACCGCCAGCTTTGTACGCTTCCGGCAGGCAGTTTCCTGCATCCCGTAACATTCTGTCATGTAACAGAAAGATTGCAGAGTACGTGAGAAATGACCAAACGCCAATTGCACAGGACCTGTTCGATCAAATGCCCGTGAGAGACGTCGTTTCGTGGAACACCATGTTGTCGGGTTTGCAGAAGGCCAAAAACCCACACGGAGTTAATCGATGTTTCTTGCAAATGACAAGAGATGGATTCAGACCAAACGAGTACACCGTCTCGATAGTACTCAATGCGTTTTTGGGCACAGCGTTTAATGTTTTGGTCTCGCAGGTTCATGCCGTTGTAGTCCGCTTGGCGCTCAACTCGAGTGTGTTTGTTGGGTCAGCGCTGATGAAAGGGTACGCAAATGCGGGCAATCGGGTAGCTTTGAGCGGAGTGTTTGATGAGATTTCAGGGAAGGATGTCTCGTCTTGGAACGCTTTGGTTTCGAGTTACATGGAATTGGGGTGCATCCATGAGGCTCAGACAGTTTTTGACGCGATGTTGGAAAGGAACGTTGTTTCGTGGACAAGTTTGGTGAATGGTTATATCAGCAATAAGAGGGTTAACAAAGCTCGCTCTGTTTTCGACAAGATGAGCGAAAAGAATGTGGTTTCATGGACTGTTATGATTAGTGGGTACGTGAGAAGCCATAAGTTTGTGGATGCTTTAGATCTTTTCGTCTTGATGTTGAAATCGGGGACTCGGCCAAACCATTTTACATTTTCAAGCGTGTTGGATGCATGTGCTGGTTGTTCTTCACTTGTCTTGGGACAGCAAGTTCACTCGAGCATCTTAAAGTTTGGTATGCCAGAGGACGTCATCATGTCAACCTCGCTTGTTGACATGTACGCAAAATGTGGAGACATTGGCGCGGCACTATGCATTTTCAGATCAATGCCAAGGAAAAACCTGGTGACATGGAATTCGATTATAGGAGGTTATGCCAGGCACGGACTCGCTACAAGAGCATTGGAGGAGTTTCAGAGCATGACTGAGTGCGGTTTTAGGCCTGACGAAGTAACGTTTGTAAACCTGTTATCGGCTTGTGGGCATGGCGGGATGGTTGAAAAAGGCGAAATCCTATTTAACTCCATGAAAGCAAAGTTCGGAGTTGAACCAAAGGTCGAGCACTATGCTTGCATGGTTGACCTATATGGGAGAGCAGGTGAGCTAGAGGAAGCCGAGAAGTTGATACAAGGGATGCCATTTCGGCCGGATGTGGTGGTTTGGGTCGCATTGCTTGGTGCATGTAGCTTGCATTCAAGTCTCGAACTTGGCGAGTTGGCTGCTACAGAAATTGACAAACTAGGACATGCCCATCCCGCAAGATATTTGACGCTTTCAAAGATTCACGGCGAAAGAGGAGCATGGAACAGCGTCCAAGAGTCCAGGAAGACGATGCAAGAGAAACGCATTCGAAAGCAGAACGCCGGTAGCTGGGTCGAATCTCCACAAGGAATGAGATGAACAGATTCATGAAACTGACCAAACACATTGAGATTACGAGGTCCGATTTACCCTACCACAACATTTACGCTTGGAAAATAGACCTTCATTGATTAAAATCAAAATATAACCTTGTGTAATACCGTCACATCCATGATCAAATAACAATCGTGAGTACGATACAAAACTATAGATAGACTACGAAAACTAAATTCAAGAAAAATGGTACAGAGACAATGCAAGGCCTTTCCCCAATTACAGCGACAACTGGGATGCTCAAAGAAGCAAATTGCTGAAATCTGATCATTTAAACCAGCTCTCAACGCTTGCTCCTTTGTTACTCAGAATAATTCCGAACTTTCCGAAGATTCAGGACTAAGAGCTTCACTTTCGGTTTTTGTTCTCATCCTTGTCCTCCCGCTTCCTGTATAGCTTCTCAAGAACACGCTTGGCCTCACACTGGGGAAAATTCGCCAAGTCATAGTAGTGGGGTGCTATATCGACTAACCTGTAGACATGTAATATTTGGAAGATTAGAAACAGATATACTCGAGAGAATAGGGACACGGTTAAATTCAAGTATTTGGAAAATAATGAAAGAAACTAGAGGGGGAGAGAGAGACTAACCACTCCCCACGAACATCTGTCACTGTACGGATAAAATTCCTGCTTGTCAAAACATACTCATTGTAGATAACCCATTCTGGCTTGTGGTCCAAGCAATTCGACGGATGCAAATGCACCACCTGCGAACAAAGATCATACATATAAGAGGCGGGCACAAACACTGATAAGGGTAAAAAGGGAAATATCATTTGGTCTATATGGAAAGTAAAGAGTAAATTTACATACTTGGTTATCTTTCACTGTCAGATAGTGTCCAGTACGTTCCAGATGAGCCACCTGCATGAAATATCCAGCTAGCATGGCCTTCCTTATGTTGATGTAGTAGTCACGACTATTGAATTCAGTACTGCATAGCTTGAGGTTAAACCGGGCCATAATGCGCACTAGCTGCTGCCTGACGTTGTCTGCAGACTTCAATGCCCTCTGATTGACAAAGTTCTCATAGCACCATGACGGATCCTCATCTACACCATTCAGAAGTAAATTTTAATACCAAGAAACTGGATGATCAACTTCAAATCAGTAATGAAACAAACAGATTCATGTACTTACTGTTTTGCTTGTATGCATGATACACATTCAGAAGCGTGAGATGATCTCCATCAATGTGCCCGAACCTCGCTTTTGCTTCGTCAGCAGCTTTTTGAGCCTCCCTAGGCCGGACAAAGCAATTGGGTACTAAGAAATAAATTGGTTATCACAGACGAGGCCCATGGAACGTTAGCAGATGCATAGAGGCGAGACGACACCATTTGCTTCATGAGATAATACTGAGAAACTGCAACTATATGCATCAGCAATTACTTAAAAATCCATAGGTACATGCCAACCGGGGGCATGGAACCCAGACAAGACAGTTGCTGATGACAACCTAATTTGACACAGTACTACTTCAACCACATGCATAAGCATTAGCATGCAGATTTAGCAGTTAGGATAGTGTGTGCACAAAAGAAAATGTCTGTATACATAACAGACTCAAAGGCATGCAATCAAGAAGCATGCAGCCCAACCTTATCTACTTTGATGTAGATAAGAGCCAAGACAGACACAACTGAGAAAGCAATGACGAAATAGAAAATAAAGTACCTGAAAGCATGGCAGATATTGACAAAATTTCATTTGAGCAGTTGAACTCAGGGCTGACTACCAGCATCTTTGACATCTGAGGATCCAACGGGAACTCACTCATAATCTCCCCTAGCTTGGTCAAGTTACCTTCATCATCCAATGCTCCCAAATAATTCAAGACCTCTAGTGCTCTCATCAATGTCTCAGGAGCAGGGGGATCCATAAAATCAAAATGAACGAGATCATCTATTCCTAGTTTCTTCAAAGTAAGAACTGTATTTGCAAGGTTTGATCTCAAAATTTCTGGATACGTTTGTGGTTGAAGATCATTATTGAAACTTCTCTCAGTATAAAGTCTGAAACATTTTCCAGGCTGAGTTCTTCCAGCACGACCTGACCTCTGATGTGCACTTGCCTTGGAAATTGGAGATACCAACAAGGATTCAACACGCACTCTTGGGTTATAGACTTTTTGTTTAGCAAATCCGGGATCAATAACATAAACAATTCCATCAATAGTCAGAGAAGTTTCTGCAATATTTGTTGACACCACAATCTTCCTTCCAGGAATTCCACCTTCTTTTATGGGAGGAGGAGCAGGATCAAATATTTTCTGCTGCATAGCTGGAGGTAGAGTTGAATACAGAGGCACCACTTTCACAGGACCAACCTGGTCACCCAGATTTCCAATTTCCTTGTTAATTTTGCGGCATGCATCTTCTATCTCCTCCTCTCCCGTTAGAAAAACAAGTATATCTCCTGGGGTCTCATACATATGAATCTGCACAACTGTTCGAATCGCTGCTTCCAGATAATCCCTTTCAGGTTCCTCGGTGTAAAAAATTTCCACTGGATGAAGCCTTCCAGGAACTTTCATGAGTGGCGCACCACTGAAATAACCCTGAAACTTTTCAGCTTCAAGTGTAGCACTCATCACAACCACCTTCAAATCAGGTCTGTTTCTCAACTACTTCCTTCAAAAGCCCAAATAGAACATCTGTTGCTAAAGTTCTTTCGTGAGCTTCATCAAGAATTATCACGCTGTATCTTTCTAAAAGTGGATCAGTCATTGCTTC